CCTCGACCCATGACTCAGTCATTCACCCACTCACGCATTCCGTGCATTATTATTTTTTTTTTTTCTTTCTTCACACAGTACTACGGAGTCTCATTCCTTTCTAGAAATTTCATTGGGCGCGTTTGCACGTATCTTTTTTCTTCCTTGTTTGAATTCTCAGAGAAACGATTACGTCGACGTATTTCCAATTTCACCGGAAAGTCCTGAAATTGGCGGAAGGGCGCCCAGAGTCGTTTTAAAAAGGTCGCGCGAATGGTGCATCATTAAAAAGAGCGTTCGTCATGGTCGAACGACGCGACGCTATGCGGACGTTCCTTCAACTATCTATTGCCGTCTTCGTCGCGTGGTTATGCAGATGTCTTCTTTTTTTTTTTTTTTTCTTTCAAGTATTAAGAGCATCGTCGTGGTACCTCGGTATATAACTATACGTTGCTCTCAGAGTTTACGAGGTTTCATACTCGATTTACCAATGCACGAAGTTTGCTCGGGAGTCCTCGAGGATTTTTAAATATCCCGCCGTTTTTTCGTCCGATTCTAGAGTCCCTCTGGTAAGAGTCCGGCCAACGGTGGGGCTTGTTAGTGATTGGCTCCGCCATATTATGGGCTCTTTCCGGAATAGAATGGTGTGTGTGAATACGTATATGGGAGAGATTCGCATTGTGTAGTGTGGGTAGGGTTAAGCCCTGTACGGCGGGTTGCCTGTACTTGGCGCGAGACTCGACCGATTCTCGCGCACTGTCATGGTGGCGCCAAACAAGCCCTTAATATGGCGTCCCTTCCGGGTGTTGGCTGGACTCTTACTAGAGGGACTCTATCCGATTCGCCGTAGGTCTGCTCGAGAACGACATTGATACACGATTACTGATACGACTCGCGAAGCCCTCTCATGGACTGCTCCTAAAAGAATATGAAAATGTGTAACGGCGAGGAAGAGAGAGAAAAAGAGAATATTACTAGATTTTTTTTCTAAGGCTTAACATAACCTATACGTAAGGGACATTACCTACGCTCTGCGCGTAGCCATTTTTGTTGTTCCCATCGACGCCGGATCGGCTGAAATATATTTCATCCAGGTGGAATACTGTGTATATACTATATCTATATGCATACGTAGTATGCGTGCACAGACATATATATATATGAATTTTTCACACGTCATTTTTCAACGAGAAACCAGGCCTCTAACGAGCGTTGCACCTTCCACACATGGTCGCCGTATTCCACGTATGCAAGCATGCCCCTACGTAGGTATTACTATACCTATATCTGCATAAGTGCATTATATTTATGCACGTGGATGTGCAGCGCAAGAAAAAGGAGTGAAGGAGACAGAGAGAGAGTGAGAGAGTGGGAGAGAGAGAGGGGGGGGAGAGAGAGAGAGAGAGAGAAGATGAAATAGAGAAAGGAAATGAAAGGCTGCTGGCAGTAGAACTCGACTGGTAGATTTCCAGGACGATTTATACGTTAAAGAAAGACCCGGCGATGACAAATAGTTGAATGCGCCTGCCTTTGGGTCTCCGTAAGGTTAGGGCCCGTCGTTGAATATCGGTACCCGCGATTCAATTGCACAATTGCATCGGTTGCATTCCCTTGCGGCTCCTTATTAATATCCGTGGGACATGGACAATAATTGTACGGGACCCTGTGCAAGAAGATCACGGTAGCCATATTGTCTAACCGCAAACGGTGCCCACATATCGCGGTAGCCGTTCATTTTATACAATTAATTTCATTTTGATTTACGGACCGAAACCCGGGGATCCGCTGCAATCAATTTATAGCAGTGTCCTGTTTATTAATATATGTGTGCACTACATTGGATAACCTTTTAATGGCTGTCGACGACCTGTGAATTAGAAAATAGAGTATACCGTAGTAACATCGTATACCGATGAATGGTAACTTTTTTTTTTTTCTTTTAACGGTTACTAATATTGCTTTCTTGGATCTACTTGGAAGAAGGTATTTCGATCTTTCTGAATTTTACGTGAAAATTCAAGCTTCTCAAAGTTCGTTACACTCACGTTACCGACGGAGCGTCCTCCGGGTATTCAATTGTCTCGTGACGTCTGGCCGTCCAGTTGGGTATTATTATGGTTCATATACTGGTACGCGCGTGGCGTAATGGTCACCAGTTAAGCCTTGATCAGCAGGGACGCTTGGGGGAACAGGGACGAAGGTTCCGACTTTGAGGTTAGGTCTTTTTTTTTAATAAACCTCTCGTTACGAAACGGCGTTGCTCTAACCCGGAGCCAGACTATGTCCAGACTGTGACGCCTTTGCTAATGATGATAATACCTCGTGCATATATTATAAAGTCCGGCGGGTGACATCATATATTTAGCCTTGTCTATTTTCTTGTAGGCACTAACAGACGCTTCTGTTACTGGATTACAGTGACATTTGTGGTGCACGTGTCTTTAGCATGTACCGTTGACATAGCAGATTGTAAAAATTTAGACAGCTCTTGTTGACAATCCACGTTAAGGGAATGTCTTATTGAGTTTCTGTGTTCCATGTCTGTATTTAGCAGAGATAGCACTGGGTAAGCCAATAAATCTGATTGGTTGAAGTTTTCAACTGTGAAGAGTCTTTATCGGCCATTCAAATGCATTTGCTAGCTCAACGATATTTAATATGAATATAGTCGTGACTTTTTTGGGGTATAAAATACTTATCGTGCTCTTTCGATGAGCGGGGATGAAATTTTATTTTCGTTTTTCTTTTTTTGAATATTTATCCCGCGATGGTAACGCCTCTGGTGGACATCGATCGAACTGTTCCCGAGTCTTTCGTAAATATATAAAAGGACAAAAGATCGGGAGACGTAACGGAGAATTCGTCTAGAAATATTAAAGGACTTCGCGAGTCGTGAAAACTATTTGTTTTCAGCGAATCAGTCAAGGAGAGGCACCGCGTGAAAGGGCGGGAATATTTGAACAGGTCGGTTTGGCCTGCAACGATCCTCCCCTCCGGGTTTCGCCGTCTAAGGTAAATAGACGTGAAAACGAGGAAAGAAAACAAAATCCCCAGGCTGGAAAAGGGAAGGGAGGAGACGAGAGAGAATTGTAGCGCGCGATTCCTAAAGGGGGTGCGGGAGGCAACAGGTGGGAACCCACAGTCACAAATAAATCCAACACAAATCCGAACCGTCTAGACACCGCACCGCTGACTAACCATGGTACCAGATTACCGTACTCGGTGTGCCCAGGCTATGGGTTTCTGTCTTGCATCGGACGATTCTGTATGCACCGGTGTGCGCGCCGCTGCATCTGCATGCATCCCGCAGCCGAAGCTGCTTAGCATGCGGGGGCACTGGCAGATTAGTAGACTACTCCCTACGTTAGGTACCTTCTCTACCAGAACCAGTGACATCCAGGTTGTTCATCAAGACTTTTTCTTTTTCTCGATCCCTGATACCTACGCTCCTTGGTCAAACGGCGATTACTGACTGGGACAGCTGAAAAAGCCTCGTGGGGGACATCCATTGGACATCTCGTGGACATTCGCAGTGACCTCATTGACTTTCCTTCCACCTTAGGTTACTGTCTACCGTTATTCTTCTTCTTCTTCCGTTTTTCAAACCGAATCATTCTTATTTCGACAGTCGTACCAATTGCCAGCACAAACTATGGATTTAATATTTAATTAACTACGGCACACTCGGTTTCTACGATATCAGGCGCACCCGTTCTCTATGCATCCAAATGATTCTCTCTACAGGGTACATCCTGGTAAACCAACCAGATGCACGCAAGCCGGTCGATCGGTCTAGACGCAGCATCCACCTATACATCAGTTGAATTGCTAGATACAAATATGTGAACGTCGATCTATTAATTACAATGCGCTGTGCTATCTGACGCCCTAATTGCAAACTGCAAATACCAGGCTTCCCTGAGCTTCGGATGCACCGAGTGTCCTCCATGCTCTGCCATGCACTACGTCACAGTTTCCACGTCATTCGTCTTGCTTAAGCTACGGACGAATCATAGATTTGGGCGGGGGAGTGG